TGGTAAAAGTGAATTCTAATAATAAATTCTAAATTTGATCATCGCAAGTAATTTACATAGCCTTCTGCGTATAAGATATATTAACACTTGTATTTTAAATAACAATTAGATAATACGTATTTCCTTCGCACCGTATCTCGTAGCCGAGTTAAACTCGAATACGATCTAGTTGTATCATCATTTTAACAATAGTTATTCATATATAACAGTAACTATTTTTCCGGCCATTGTACGTACCAGATGAGCCTGAAACACCAGCAACAACAACACCTGTTGATGAACCCGGAGCCCATTTTGTTACACGATGATTATTTAATTCCGCCACAAATATATTTGAAATTGAATCTACCCATATGCCATAAGGATAACTTAATTGAGTTAGTGCACTTCCAGCAGTACCAGTACCAGCTTGAAGTACACCAGTAGAACCACCACGTGCCCATCGTACAATACGATTATTATATGCATCATTGATATAAATGCTTTGATTTGCATCAACATAAAGATAACGAATGCCTGTTACAGCGAGTTGGCTCAAAGCAGTTCCGCCCACTCCTGTACCAGCTACAAGAGTGCCGTTAGCGGCATTCGATAAATAGTACATTATTCGAAAGTTACCACTATCACTAATATACATATTATCATTTGAATCTATAAATACCCCAGATGGTTGATATAGTTGATTCCAAGCAGTGCCCCTTGTTCCAGTTCCTGCATATGTGACACCAGTAACATTCCAGTATGTTCCATTATAACCTAAAATCGAAGAAACAAACCGCAAATATTCAATATTGCATGAAAATCATTATTTGTATCTAGACGCACATGGATTGCTCAATGCAGTCGTCGTTGTAGTTGTACTGGAAGTGGTACTTGACGTCGTGCTTGACGTCGTGCTTGACGTCGTACTGGAAGTGGTACTTGACGTTGTGCTTGACGTTGTGCTTGACGTCGTAGCTGAGGTGCTACTTGAGGTTGTACTTGAGGTTGTAGCTGAAGTGCTACTTGAGGTCGTGTTTGTGACCGTAGCGGAAGTGTTACTTGAGGTCGTGTTTGAGACCGTAGCTGAAGTGCTACTTGAGGTCGGGTTTGAGACCGTAGCTGAAGTGCTACCTGAGGTCGTGTTTGTGACCGTAGCTGAAGTTGTAGTTGTATCCGAAGCTATAGATGCAGTACCTTGACATAACATTAGGAATAAATATTTGAATATTCTTTGGAAAATAGAACTTCCACTCAAATGATTCGACAAAATCTGAATGTCCTCACTTCTTCACCTAATTGAAGCTGCAATTTATGTTAGCTTCATTTCATGCGCCAGTGATCCTACAACTACATAGATTTCCTTTTGTGCTCTGAAACTATAGGAATAAGTAAAGAATTTGCAACATCGTGCTTTCATATTGTCTTCCATTAATTCTGTCATCAATGCTAAATGCATGCTTTTTATATATGTACTTCAATAAAAAGGTGATACTTTCGAATTGAGAATAATACATGTATCAAATTTTGCGACACAAAATCATATTGTCAAACATTTCTAACTGAGAGAAATATCAATTCATCTATGAAAAAATTTTGAATTAAATAAAACAAATATTTTCTGGAGTGAAGACAAAGTCATATGAAATAAAATGCCATTCCATGTTTGCAAGCACGGATTGAGCCGCCTGCTCGCATATAAATGAGGTAAGGGTTTCTTAGAAAATTTGATCAAAGGTAATCAGGATCCCATCAGTTGAATCTGGGGTTTGATTTTCCACCCGAGCTTCCTATTGGCTAAAAAGTTGACTAATCACAAATGAGCTTTTCTAATTTTCGATTTTAGCTCGTTTCGATCAACTTTGGAATAGGCATGGATATGCAATGCCAGAGTAAATACTGAAAAGCTGAAGGTCGGAGAAAGACTGCAGTTCGAAACACTGAGCCACTACATCTGTCAAAGTTAGGTATGCAACGGTGACGGTGTATTACCGGTAACCGGTCTATTTCGGTCACCGGTCCATCGATCACCGGTTCTTAACGGTAACCGGTCGTACTAAATCAGCTATGCTTGGAACTAGTTGCTAATGGAAACAATCACTTTCGGTTTCCCATGGTTTTAACAGCACTTTAGTTACCATAAATGTAATTATCCAAAGTCAAAAGTTTAAGTTGAGGAGATATTAATGGCGCTGGCCATTTATCTTTTTTCAGATATCTTCTTAATAATTGCTGATAGTGGAGCTGATACACAGATTATTTAATTGCATAGAGTACTCATTTACAGATGTCATATACGTATATAAGCAGTCATAGTTGAACTAGCATATACCATTAGTGGATGCTCACTTTTATGCTAAAGATGATCGTGTTGCACAACCTTTCTGAATTTTACTATCGATAAAGAATTTAAGTTGTTACAAAATCATCAAAGGTTAATACTATACAAGATTGTCAGTACTCTGATTCTCTTATTCCATATTGTAGTTTTCATAAGACTTCAAATAACTCAGAGTATTCATTTAAAAGATCGCTAGTTTTCATTTTTAAAGTTTTTTCTTTAATATTGTCTAGATAATTTATACGTGGGAATTGTAGTTTAATGTTGCTGAAAAATGTGAATAATTTGAGTATCCAAACTGAAAATTGTACTACAGGTGTTTATCGAAATGAAAAAATGTGTTGCAAAGCGCACGTCTATTCATGTTTCAACAATGTTTGGATGTGATTCAAGTATTAAATGACTCTTGACAGTTTCTATGGTTTAAAAATATGTTGATTAAAAATGAATGAACACTATGTAAGTCGCTTCTTTAATCACAAAAATTCTACAAATGAGTTTTTTATATGCCAATATTTAAATCAAGGATTTGTAAAGGTAGACAATTGGTGCAATTACTACATGATCAAGATTTGTACTATCGAGAAATTCTCGAAGCATCAATAGGATCTTTAACTACCTATTGATACGAAAAAATATCATCGATAACTTTTAACCTGTGCAAACCGGTGGTTATCTCTTCTTTCATTTTTCTAAATTAAAAATTAGTACCTTCAATTAATAGTATAGTAAAATTGAATATAATATGCTCGGAACTCGAAAAAATACTGTTTATATTTCTTGAAGTATGGAAAATACCAGAATTAATTCTTCACGAACGAAAGTTTATATAAATTGCTTTAGAAAATATTTAAACAATGCAATACAACTTAAGAGTCACAAAATCAATATTGATTACTTGTATAAATACAAGAAATACTTATGATTAATTCTTAGAAAGTCAAACATATCATGATTTATTTTAGCAAATAGAAAAATGAACATGTTATGCTACATGATTACTTTTAAAATACTTTTTAAAAGTTTGAAAACTAGTATATACTGCCTCATGTTTCGAAAAACAACTGACAAATATTTTTAATACCCTTTAGCACGTCAAAACTAGAATAAAAGACATATGATCCTGAAAGTAACATAGCACTTGACCAGTAAACAAATTCTAATGCATCTATACTGCTCATAAACTGAATTCCAGTCTCGTTTGCCTAATAGTATTTACCAGTTCATACACTATGGAAAATACCGGCGCATTTTTTCATACGGGTACACTGATTTCTACGGTTCTGTAATAATAACAGGTGTTTATATAGCTTACATCGATCTATAGCATTCTATGCTGGTTCATAACGGTCTACAGATGCACCGGTGACCGTTAAGAACCGGTGACCGGTGGACTGGCTACCGATAAGACCGGTTATTGTCACCGTTCCATCCCTAGTCAAAGTATGTATCTTAGCCAATTTTGATTGCAGTTTACAGGGTGTGGGTGTGGGTGTGTTGACGTGGAAGAAGAGGCCATGAATACCCACACCCACACCCAATCCTTTGGATTATTGTGTATGGAATGAGTTTGTACAACAAATTAATTGGGATAAGGTCCAATCAAAAATAAATGTGGAAACTTCGGATTTCATCCGAGAGTTATGCGTATTGCAAAAAGTGCATGGGACATATGAGTCATTCTAGAATGTCTGAATACCAAAATTATCATGAGAAACTAGGTAATTTGATTTCTGGATGCAATTTTTGTGCATTTTGAGACGTTTTTCAGGAGATGTTTCATCAGAAAGCTACGGTTTAGTTCAAAACTAATATCAGATTCGGAGTCAGCGTTAAAAACTGAGTCGATTTATATATGTTGTGAATAATTCTGAGGAAAAATTTATTTTTTGAAAAAAAATCCCTGTACCTCCCTCAGGGATGGTCTGGTCAATAATGACAATTTTTTCGATAACTCAACCATTTCTTGAGGGATCCTTCTCATCTTCGAACTCGACCGAGATATTGATGAGATCATTGTATGTACAAAATTTCATGGTAATTGGATGAGGCTTTCAAAAGTTATCGTGCCTACGGCAGGACACACTGACCGATTCTAGAGTGCACTCAATTTTTGAGTACACAAAAAAAACTAACTGATGAATTAAAACGTGGTGTTAAAAGAATTAGATCAGATTTTGTGTTAGAAAGTTGTTGTAGTTGGACTAATCGTTTGTGCCATTTGTCAATAAAACGTGGTGACTATTTATGGTAAATAAAATGTATTATTTTGTAGAGAATTTCACGCCCTATCTTTTCAAAAAAGAATTAGGTCAATAGCATAAAATCTCAAAAATTTATGGCCAAATTACAAATCGGCCACTTATTCCGTCATACCCTTTATGTGTGCTGATTCAAGGGAAAAAGCACGGAATCAATTTCTTCTAAAGTCTAACTACGTGGAAAAAAGATTCGATTAATGTCTCAAAACATTTCATATGAACTTTCCTGCCTAATTGTGCAATCAATCGGCTTAACCGATTGGATCTAGAGAAAATATAATTCTGTTGAATACGATTTGTACCCGAAATGCGGAAAGATTGAGGGGTGTCCAAGGACTAAGGAATGGGAATTCTTCCGATTCCTCCGAACACCAGCAATAAACAGAAAGACACTCGAGGAATTGGCGCTTGCCCCACAGACTACATGAATCCCCCTCAATACCAAGACATCTCCCTAACGAACACCACATCCTTCGGTATCCGCTCCATAATATACTACACAAAATACCTACACAATCACTCAGTTGCTCAGGTAGGAATTGCGTATCATCGATCTAACACACAAACTTCTCAGGTAAAAACTAGAAACCGATGGCAATCCCTCAACAAGGGATTTATGTGTACCAACCCGACAGTAGTGAAAAATACTAGGAAATGACTACCAATCATATATGGGTGTGGGTGCCAAGGTGAGTGTGATTACGAATGCAATCGCTAGCCACATACGTCACACTCCGTTAGAATGTGGAGAGGCTATGATAAAATTTTCAACCTTACGTCATGAAGTTTGTGAGTGATATTGATCAAGCAAGGATCAAAAATAGCTCATTTGACAACTCAGCTATCTCTGCCCATATTCATCTTTCATATTAAATTCTTTTTTGTTTAAACGACTCATGTCAGGATCAGGATGCAGTGTAGAACGGAGTTCGTTTTTAAATTCTTACTTTTTAAGTGGATAAAAGTGACCATCAGTGCAATGATTCAAAAATAGCTTAAAAAAGGAATGTCGAGTTGTATGTGTCTGAATATATAATAAGAAAAAAGTTTATTTGAAAAAAATGGCTCTGTACTGCACCACATTCTCATATGATCTTTCAAGCAAAAAATGAATTTAATATATAGGATGAATCTGGATAGAGAACTTTGAATTCTCAAATGAATTATTTTCGACCGTTGCTTATAATCGATATCACTTCCGAACACCAGGGTATAGAGTAGCTGTCTAATTTGAGTTCGAATATAAATGGAGAAAAGAAAAAGTTAAACTAAAAATAAATCTACTCTTAGATTTAGTTCAAGTTTAACTCTCCGATATATGCGACATATGAATACATACATACCCTTCATCCGCACCCACATTTGAGCACTCCTCTACGGCATCCGTCACTCACGCCCACATTTGAAGTACCCTTGGTACGCCGCATCCCTTCAGGGTACCCCGCACTCGCACCGGCACCCACAGTTACTCCTTAGTCCCCTCAACCCACACCCCTCCATCTTAAACTAAATCTATTTCTATTACTTATTTTCAAATTGATACCATGCACTTGGGTGTTCATTTATACTTGAATTCGAACTAGGCATCTCATGGTTAATTATACCTCAGTTGATAATTAAAAATCATTTTAACGTTTTGCAAATTTTCTGCAGTTAGCGTTTTCAAACATAGTTTTAACTCCTACGCTGGTTGAAGGTGAAAAGTCCTGATGATGAACGTTATTTGTATAAATAAGCAAAGATATATTATTATTTACTTTGTGCCGCTCCGCTTGTTGGTTTTATAAGAAGAAACGGAAGTGCTATGGCCACAGCAAGTACAGTCACTAAACAAGGTAATATACCACAACAGATCACCCATGCTATTTTCCGTCTTCAAGAAATAATTATCATGGAACAAATAGTAGACAGAAAAAATACTTACCTTCTATATTTTCTTTTTTGCTTCCGATTTTTTTGATGAGCTTTGATAGCATCTCCCCGATCTGACTCAACTTTCGTGATCTATTCTCATTTAAAGAATGGAGTATCGCAAAATCAATAACAAATGGTGTATCTTACTTGAAAAAAAAAGCGATCATCCCAATGAATTTCCTAGAAAAATAAAATAATACTGTATTGATTTTTCTTCACCATGCATTCACTATGAGTAACTACGTTAAGAGGAGTTACTTTGGATGAGGATGATGTACGTGAATCAGTTTTTGGAACATTTTTTTGAACGGATTGATTATTGTTAGTATTGTTTTTCAAGGTATCATTTCTTTGTTGAAGGTTTCCTGTAGGACGATTAGCATATGCATTTGGCTACAATAAAAAAACGTTGAATGAAATCATATTGATTAAAGTTGTCAATGTTTTGAATTCGGTCATAACGAAATAAATCTTTGTGAAAATAGAAACAAAAATAACTAACGAAAGATAAACTGGCATTATGTTTTATTAAATTTTCCTTTGCTAATATTTGATTGTTTGAAGGTACAATGGACACACGAATAATATTGTTCAATTGTTTTTCTCTTTTGATTGGATGAGAATAATGACGATGTATTTTTCGAACTTTCACCGTAGACTTTGTTGCATCGTTTGAAAATGACATCGTCCGTATGAAAACTGAACAAATTCCTTTTCACTATATAATGTTTCAGTTGTATTCATCGAAGCTCCTATTTTATGATGCAAAAAAATCTATTTTACTCATTCGAAAGCATAAAAAATGTATCTATTTGGCTTCATAATTATGATAATAATAATAATAAAATTTCTTTGAATAGAAAGAAACCGATTATCATACCGTACTTCATTTCAATTTTTTTCATTATTTTCGATGCAAGCATCTTTTCCAAAGGAGAAAAGAAGAAGCCCAATAACTTCTTTCGATTGTATGAGCTTAAATCTATTTTTGATCAGGTTTCTTCAATATGGAAAAAATAATCTAATATGTAAAGAAATTCATACTTTGTTTCATAATGCAGTTCTGTTTTGAATGTTTTCATCCTCTAGAGAGAATAATCAATAATTCACCATTCTCACCGATCGGTGAGTTGATTATTATTTTGAATGATAGAATTGAAAAGAGAATTCCTAGTTTTGAAAATACAGTGCTGGTCAAAAGTCCCGACTCCCCTAAACTGCTTTAACACTTCGAGCTGTTCCCTTGAATTTTCCACCACTTGCATACGTTAAGAATCCCTGATCGGCGACCTCGAATTAGCATCGATTTCATTCAATATAAGAGAGTTATAGATCAAACAATATCACAACCTAGGAGAGTTTATATCTTGGTTAATAAAACATTTGGAATGTCGTGGAACTCATCATTCAAAAACTTGGCTTCTGAACTTTGTCTCATATAATTTTCACGCGTAAATGCCTTAAATTTACCGGTATTCTATCATCACAAGAAACGGCTATAAAACGACATAAAACGGCATTAATTTTCACCCTATTTCGCCGTAACCCGTCAGCTCGTTTTACGGGTCGTTTTTTAAAGTTTTACATCGTTTTTATGCCGTTTCAGGCCGTTTTCTTTCACCTGGGATTTTTGTCGTGAGAATCTTTCAATGCGCCCCTATGAAAATCATCAACGAATTAACCGATTCACTTCAATTATTTTTCTCAACGTGATCATAAGCTCATATATAGTATCTAAAATTTTCACCTCTCTATCATGTACTGAACTACTATTACAATGGTAAAATGGCCTCGGTACTATGTTATATTTGATCCATTTACATATTGCGAAATTGTGAAGATGTTTCCAGCAATAACATACATGGAGTCGTGAGTAAACTAGGAAAAAACTCCTGTCTCTGATTCCTTGCGTGTTTTTTCGGTATCTCTCTAAATAAATCGCGCGGTCTAATCGAATGAGTCGGTCACAGTTGAATTGGATTATAAATGAAAATTTTTCAGAGGCACAGGAAAACCATTCTTTTCCTAGCTTTTTATTTTCACTATCGGATGTGCGTTTTTCATTGATGCTTTATCTTTGAGTAAAAATCTCATCCACGTCAATTTTAACCTTATCAAGAACCAGAAATAACCAAAATAGCTAGGTGGCGGGGAAACTTGAACAATATTTTCTATTTACTAAGATTGCTTCACTACTTGATGTTTATGCCACGCCGGCTGAGATTACCGACATCGGTCTGTTCTTCACATCTATCTCACCTAGTCACACAAGCTCACCTTCTAGTGTGTGGTAAGTCACAATCTAATTAAATGCTGCAGTATCGTGTGAGGAACCAGAGATGGACGGAGCAGCTAAAAAGTCGCCTCGCCACCGCACCGCCACCGTCTATTTTTTAATACTGACCCCGCCACCGCCCGTCTCGCCCCGCTCCGCTTGTCAAATACATTTTAGGAAGCAAGTATTGATAGTCACTTTTCATAATTTTAATTTTATTGCATGCCATCAAAAGGCATAACCAAAATATACATACCCAGGACGATAATTCCGGGGTCCGGATCCTGCAGGAAACAAAATGCACCGAACTTTTTTTCCGGCTAATTCCACTAAAATACAGAGTGTTTCCCTCCGGAACCGCCCGGAAAGTACCCGGCAAATGGAAGCAGGATTCCGGACCGGAAATCACCGTACCGAATCCATAACTTTCCAACAAAATCCATTTGACCGGATCCACCCGGAAACTACCACATACACAATGAACTCCTTCAGGAAACTACCATATCCGCGACGGAGTATTTAGCGAAACTTTCTGTATCCGGTCTGATACCGTCAAGAACTGCAGCATACCTGCGCGGCATCACACCCAGGAGGAAGATTACCGTGACCGTAAACGGTCGTTAACACTATATTCACTACCCCGGGTCGATCAATCCCACAATAGGATCTGATTGGAAGCAGAGTTGGCACCCCAGGATCGAAATCCAATCCAATCTTACAGCAGAAAACCGATTGATAACAACCATCATTCAACTGTCGGATGCCACGGCGCAATCGATGATGCCGGATTCGCATTCATCGATCTCGATAACCTATTACAAACTTACCTCAGAATTTAGCTGAGAGTTAAAATAACAAATCTACCTTTACAGCTTTTGACTCTGGGATGTACCTATTTTCTGACCAATGGAAGCCCGCCTCGAAAAACTAACTACATATTCGGGTTGCTGGACCTCAATAACCTATTACAAAGTGTCATCAGAATTTAGCTGGGAGTTGAAATAACAAATCTAACTTTTCAAATTTTGAATTTCTGTTTGCGGCAGTTTCTTACCAGCTCGATATGCTCATAGGGATATGACTTAGTGAGTGACTGGTGTGATTTGGTCAAAGGTGAATAACATTAGAGTGTAGCGCAACTATTTGCTGGTATCGGTATGTGTCCGAACTGTTTGAGGTTGGAGATGGATTTGGGATATGATTGAGGAAGCGGTTTGGATATCGATACGGTTGACATAGATGTCTTTCCGGTTTTCGAATTCTCGGGAAATTTGTTGGAAACGTCGGAGATACTCTTACGGAAAGCGGTGTAAAAATTCCGTCGAAGATCCACTCGTTTCCAACTGTTTCCGTTCCTACAACGTGTATGTGGATCACAAAAGGAACCGCCCGGATTTTTTCCTGAAATTTTCCCGGTGTTTCCGTTGGGATATGAGTGGAAAGATGATGGGAAAATCCGGGAAAATCCGTTCCGGAATACTGCTTCCGTGAAATCGCGGGGATGTCCGAGAACCGGCCGTTTCCGGGACCGGAATGTTCGGCCTGGGTACACTAAATAATCCCATAATCACTAAACCGCGACAACAACCCAAGCGTGCAACCATCATCAGACAACAAAACGAAATCACATTCAACAAAATTAATAACATCATTTCCCAACCAACTCAAACAAACAGACTTACCAAGGAAATACAAAAAAAACAGTATCAGCAAAACCACTACAAAAAAAATAAAATGTATACCCACTGCGATCAATCAAGCAGCAAATCACTATAATGATCGTATACCTGATATTGTGTCACAACTACCAAAAAACCATTATTCCTATCTGAAAACACTACCTCAACAACATCATCATAAAACCTTTTATACGCTCTATCAAAACGATCATCATATGAAACGCCATGCTTCGAGAGAAAAGCAACCATAAACATTCAGCAGATAACTCTAGGGATGTAACAATACCATTGGGAGACACATAAAAATTGCCAACTTTCACAATGAAAATCCACCAATACCAAAGAATACTTTGCGTTCGTTATAACCAGCAAAGTTAGCTCTATCTGATAGGAGTATATGAAGTTCCAATACCAACAGAAAACATCCCCAGCATTGGTGAGTATTGGTAAAAAAACGGTAAATTTCACGAATACTCATCAATAATGGGGATCTTTTTCTGTTGATATTGGTATTTTATACACTTCTATCAGGTAGAGCTAACTCTGCCGGCTACAGCTAACGCAAATTATTGCTTGGTATTGGAAGATTTTCATTGTGAAACTTTGGCAAACTTTATGTGTCTCAAAATGGTATTGCTACATCCCTAGAGTCTAGGGGTGCACCAATTCCAATTCGAGTCCATTCAATTCCTGGAATTGGTCGGCATTGATTGGAATCGGAATTGGTCGGCATTGATTGGAATTGGAATTGGTCGGAATTGGTTGGACTTGGAATTGGTGCATCCCTACTTAAAGGTAAATTAACATTTCGGTTGATTTTTCATGTGCTGAAAAAACGGACAAAGCAAAGTGATTATTTTGTGACTGTCGCCAACTGATTTACCATATATTGCTACTAGTTTCTGTATTCTATCTCTATTGATATACTAGATAAACATCGGCAGATAGCAGGGGAAGCGCAATCCAACAGATTGAATTGAATCACGCAATAGATTAATCATATACATGAAGCATTTTTATTGTTTATAAAAAAAGAATTGAAAATTGTTTTCGTCTAATAATATCTTCATGACGGTTACCAGGAATAAAATTTTACAAAAAAGAAATCTTATCACTGACGAATTTCGCCAATGCCGATAAATAATCTTCCACTGTACAACTTAATAAAAGTCCATAGGATTCTGTTGGTACGTTATTCACTTTTTGCCAAGAACAGGATCGTGAAAAATAATTAAATTACGCATTTTTAATCTTCAATTGTACCCATAGGTAGGCTGTGTGTGTGTCTTTGACTAAGAGCTCGCCGAGGCTCTAACAGCGAAAGTGATTTTGGAAATGTATGCGTGCGTTCTTCATCCAGAACGAAACCATCACTTGTCCTCAAAGTGACTATCGAATTCCGCGTATAATATTTTATTAACAGTAATAAAACTGTCGTGCACTAATATCCAACTCGAAGCATTCTTTGCTGGGTCCAAAAATCATGAACAGGACGGACTCGTTTTTAGAATGTCCTGAAAACATGAACGTAATGACACCTGTTTTCTTTTTGTGAGATATTGACTGCTGACAAAATAGAGTTTCTTATCTTTATTTTTGGCATGTTCTTATTATTTTCGTTTTCATATCTTCAGTACTACACACCCGATAAAAAGAAAAAGTCAAGCCTTCGTCAAATCTAGGAAACCGTTCATTCAAAACAAAATTCTACGTTAAAATTGTTTTATTGAATTCGAATAAAATTTGATTGTTGATTGATAATTGAAGATTTAAAAATCATGACATGAACATAATTACAATTTCATCCTATTGCATTTCTTTATTTAAATTTCAAAAAAATCGAACTGATGAAAACAATTATGAATAAAGAAACTCAACTAAATATAATCGCATACAAATGAGAGATAGATACATATTTTTTCTTTTGATCATTTCAGGTTGGAAAGACAAACAGAATCAATTAGAACAGCAAATAATAGCACAAAATGCAATGATTTCTGGAAGGATGATTTAAGTTAAGGCGAAAACTATTTACATATGCACGCATCAATGAATTTACATAACTGTAATAAGACATGACTGACCAAAGGAAAAACAGAGACAAAAGACAATCAATACGGTAAACTCGATATCTCGTTTAAATAAGCACCCAGCATATAGAAAAAAAACAGAGAACAAGAGACAAAGACACACCGGAACAAAACGAAAAAGAGAAAAGGAAAGAAGTATCTGATTTATAATTTGAAACAAAAATGAGCATTCAAACCAAAACGAGAAAACAAGAAATATGAAGTGTTTGCATTAGCTTGTCTTTATTATCTATTCACTGTTTTGACTGTCGAGAAGAAACATAGAATCTTGTATCTCTGATGATGATGATGATTAATAGGATAAAATGCAAACACCACCGGAGATGGTCAATAAAAAGCAAAGAAAGCAAGGACTAGCACATAAAGATAGAATAAATTTCAAAAAGTCTTTGTTCATTTATTCACTGGTTTAAAGATGAATATTAGTATAAATTTGTTTGTCCTAATAAGATCTATTTATTAAAATTTCACTGTTATTGTCTTATTGCTTAATGACCAAGAAGCTAACATCAGACGTATTTTATGCACATATTCTATAGTATCATTTTTCAATGGATCGTCGAAGAAGAAGTTCAAGGGACGGAAAATCAAGTATACAACAGAAGAATTATTCTTAGAAACTATTATTGCAAATGTGCATGACTAACTACTATTAGAAGGAGAATTTTAAAGCATTAATCACAGGAAAAAGAGAAAAAAAACACATGTGCATATTTAGTATAGGATATTATTGACTTTATTTTTACTTATTACCATGGGATTGCCTGCTGCGTATAATTTGCCCATATATTATTATCAAATGATACTTTTGATTGAAATGGATTATAGTCAATATCTTGATCATATATTGATGAAGAATTTTGTGTCATTGGAATGTTGTTTCGATTTGGCCGGGCAATTGTTGTACGTTGGCCAACAATTTTACGTGTTGAAATACCATTTGATTGTATAGATGATGACAGATTTTGTTGAGGTTTTTGTTTTGTTGTATTCATTTGTTGCGTCGGGCTAACGTCTGTCATTGCCATTTCAGATATGCGTTCGAGATTCCACCAAAAGTCTTTACTTAAACGAGTTATCCATGCACTATCATCGCGTAATAAATAACGATCTATAGGGAGGGAGAGAGAAAAAAAAATTTGATTATTTCAATTTTTTCTTTTCATACCAGCATTTTCAAGTACGCTCCAATCAACGTCGGGATCAGCGAACGATAATATTGATTGATTAAAGGAATTATTTTGATTATGATAATTCATAAAAGCATTTTCATAACCTAGAAAATAAACATAAACGAAAATGATTCATGTAAATTATTTCCTTTACCTGATGGTTGATCCATAGTCATCATCATATTTATTTGACTTGATTTTCACTAATATATTTAGAATATGCAATTATAATAAATTTGAAAGACAAATGGAATTGTTTATATAGGTTTATTTCCGTTGATAAAGCGTCTTCTATTGTCAGATGTAGAAGCAGTATAGACAAAATGAATAATAGATTGAAACAGAATATCTGGAACAAAAAGCATAACATATTCTATTAACGATGGCGTCAGATTTTTAGTTATGTCGCAAATTGTTAACATCAATGACACTTTTTATTCTTCGTCTTTCAATGACGATGCAATGTTCATTTTGTTCTGTGAGCGCCTGATTGTTTTACCCATCCATCAAATAAATGAGTGAACGACAGAACAAAAAGAAGAAGAAGAAAAAGAAAAAGAAAAAGAATGTTAACAAAAGAAAGAGTTCTGCATACCGGACAAATAAAAGAACTGTTAAAACAAGTGTGTGGTAAGGACAAACGTTGCTAGTCAGTTTCCTCGTACTTAATTTAGGAAGAAAAATATGCGTAAACATACACACGCACACCAAAAGAAGAAAGAAGAGTTCTATGTATGAATGTTAACATAACAGAAAATTCAATTACTGAAGAAAACAGTAAACAACCTATCAGACGACGATGTCTATATCATATACTAAGATGAATACGGCAAACTGTATCTTGCTGTTATTTCTTTTTTCTCTCACTAGATGAAAAGGGGGAAAAGGCAGCTATGCAAGAGGGTTGCAAACACGTACTTAACATCTTCACATACTTTGTCTCAAACAAGATAATATAATAATAAAAGCAGGGAGAAAAAAATAATAAAACGTAATCAAATCGATGATGAAGCAATTTATAATTCTTTCTTTTTGTGTTTCGTCAGGATTTTTTCTCCATTTTTTTCATTACTCATCGTAACTTAATGATAACGCTGAGATTTTCTTATCATTTAATCAAATAAATATTAACAAGAGATAACCTTACTCATTAATGACAAAAAAGATTTTGTTTATATCCAAAACAAAGTCCTTGGCGAAGAAGCATTTATCATGTAAGATAGAGTAAGAGAATAAAAATAGATTGTTACCTGCAAAATAAAAGCAAACAACTACGACGAGTCTGCTTTCTAATACGGTCAGAACAAAACAAATAGGACAAAGATGAAGAACAACTGAGAGCTAGATGAAAGAGAAGAAAGAAAGAAAAAAAAAGAGGAAAAAACCTACTTAACGAGAGAAAAAAGAAAGGTACACCACCCAGAAAATGTTAGATAGTTTAGTGTCTTAAATAAGAAGAAAGGAGAAAATATCTTCTATTGGTATAGAACAATAGTGTTTACCAACCAATCAATGTCAAACTTTGATATAAAAAAGAACAAAGCGAATGCTTGTTATAGATGGTGTCTTGAAATCCAAATCATAGTCGTCGATTGATCTTGTCAATCAATTAATCAAGGCGCATCATTAGACATTTACAATTGAAAAAGAAAGAGTTATTATTACTAGTAAAAAATAACGTTTATCTAAAGCGAAAAATTGAAATTCCTGGAGAAAATATTTTTGTAATTTGATCAACTAGATTTTTGTCCAAATTATGTTTCAAACAGAACAAATAATCCATTCAAACATTATAATAAATGGTATTTTTACCGATGAAAATTATCGATATAGGTTTTATGAGATTTACATAATGTGGGTTGAAAGAAAAACCGAATGTATCTCACTATCTTCACAAACAAACGATGGTACACATTCAACTATCGGATATCATTCGCATCCATCGTGAGTAGGGTTCCAATATGTGCCTTGCCTGAACGAATATCTAATTACCACATTGACGTAAGGTAGCTAAAGTGATTCCTTTACACTTCGAGAACATGCTGAAAATTTTCATTCAATTCTACAGATCTGTTGTGCTTAAAATTTAAGTTTTCTGACTTTCTAAAAGCTACGAAAAAAGACCTGTGGAAAAAAATGATATTTTTCTTATGAAACATCTATGTGATCATAGAATCTCTGTTCAGATTCGACACGAAACCGAACAGTGTTCGATATTTAAATATCTACTCAAATGCTGAGTAGATTGGATTTTATTATTGAAAAGTTACTCGATATTACCTTTGTATAAATAGTTACTGCAAAATAACAACGATGTATAACAACAAAGAAACAATACAACGCACTTTATCAACTTAAATTTCACAGGAGTGTTTTGTAAAATGATCGATAGTTCATTGTAGTAACTTCTGTCTGTCTGTCTGCTCTTAATATTCAATAAAAAAATTTTTTCAAGTGAAGTACCTATTGAACAAAAAGGTAGGCGTTTCTTCATATAGCCCGCTTATATATATATATATATATATATTGATTTCTTTTCGAAATTTTAACAGGCTTGTGTGTAATATGACAGAGACATGAAACTGATTCTTGCTTTGAATAATATCCATTTCTTGTTAGAATGTTGTCTTCTTTTTTACTCAAATGTGAACATGTTTAAGAGCGATTTCAATGAGATAATAGGCCAAATCCAAGAAAGGACCCACAAATTGATATGATGGAAAGTAGTGAAGAAACTTACCAGCTATTTAGGGTTAATAGAGATATTGCTTCTGACGATCAGAATGATCGATCGGCGAACAACTATCGCTATTATACATTTCAAGAAATAAAAGTTGAAAATACTCAACCGCCTATATTTGTTTTGCATGCGATAATAAATAATTTGAAGGCCTTCTCCATAAATTATGTAATTAAATTCTGCTCCTACCTCAGATAAACGAGATTACTGTCGGTTCCCGTCCGCTTCTTATCATAAAATACGCCCTTACAGCATCTGTTCTATAAGTTGTAAAAAATTTCCGATAAGCAACTCAGGCAAGTGACGTGACGATAGTTTGGTTATGATCGTGTTTATATACTTTTTCTTCTTGTGCCTAGGTGTTTGTTGAAGTAAAATACGTGCTAATAATAAAATCTCTGCTCATATCTTAGCTGATCAATCTTATTCAGCAAAGGAGTGAAGTGCAACTTCTTGAAGTATACATACAATAGGTCATACAGGAATTTCATGACTTTGACTACTAGGCAATTTAATAAAATATTTAAATACGATAGAATAAATTGCATAGCTCTTCTTGGTACATGAAGATTAACATATAAGAATAACTTTCAATACTCTCCTACTGTATGATGAATGTATGTCAACAACAGAATTTTATTTTTGTTTAGAAATCTTAAGGAGTGTGATAGATTATTTAATGGCTACTTCCAACAACATTAACATCTTATTGTCAAGTCGCACGATTAGTTACTCTCGGATATGTTGATGGGATAAGATTTTCATAGAATTAGCGTACCGATTTTTATTTCTAAAGGCTATTGTAAGATCCGGACTAAAAGTAGAATTGAAAAAAAATAGAAAAGAAAATTCCGGCCAACGGGACCGACATTATCGATTTCCGATCAAAGAGTGTATGAATCATTTCCGGAGAAATAAGTTAGCGGACGTTTGAAAAAATCTACCCAACAATAGATGGCATAAAACAATCTTTTCAAAACAAGCAACAGCATCCGCATCATGTTTTTCATTTGAATCACACAGGAAGTGCGCTAATAGCGCATTTTAAATATAAATGAATTCTACATTAATAATCTCGATTCTCCATTAATCACATTTGATGGCTACAAAAAAACAAAACATTACAGATATTTATTTTCGATCACAGGTATCAATACAAAAATTTGAAAAGATCACTAATCGAATCGATTTTAAGCTATAGTACATATATTTACGTAGATTAATAATTAAATGTTATCAAGCGATTTCTTGCATTTCGTTCATAAATTCTTTTCACAAGTAAATGTTTATACGCTGTCCAATCGACTTCGCTTTGCAACTTTTTCTGTAGATCTTCATCGGTTATATAAGGTCGAACCTATTTTAAAGGAAATAAATATTCCAAACACAAAAAGAAATTAAACAAATTACCTCTCGTCGCAATCGATCAAATAAACTTTGTGGTGTCATTTTCATAAAAAAATTTTTTCGTATTCGAATACATTCAGCTCCATCAGAGATTAATGTAACACTTAGTGCATTTTTTAATTGTCCAAAAACGATGCTTACCAAACCCTAACAACATAAACAAACTATTCAGTGTATGACAAGATCTCTAATCTTTTAAAATTATTTGTCATGCAAATAGAATTTTTTTAGTAGAAAATCAATCTATGGTTTCGATTATTTTCTATTCACAACCCAAAAGCAATTTTAAACGATTACTAATATGAAAAAATCTACTCACAAAAACACTTTTTTCTCGAATTTGTTCGATTTCAGTATAGCATTTAGCTGGTTTTACTGGTGATTTTGGCTGAAAGAAAAAGATCATCAAATTATAATGAAATGAATCGATCATCGCCTATTGTTTTTACTTTAGCCACTGTGCCCAATGCTTCTATACTATATTGCGAAGCACGTTGCGTATTGAAATTATCATACATGACTTTTGGTTTTTTGCGGGTTACTAATTTCGGTGTAACTTGTGTTAGAGCTTTGATAACACGACAACAACCTGTACGAATAATATAAATCCATTCATCTTCGTTCGAGTCTCTACTCATTAATGTGCCCATGCTATAATAAAACGAATGTTTTCTTTTTCGATCTACACAAATACTCTTACCGATAATAAACAACTTGGCAAATACGTGGATTATCATGAGGAATTTTATCAATAGGAAATCCTCGAAACTTAAAGATCAGAATAAATATTAAAGCAAAACAAATTAACAAAAAAACTAATTGTTTTTACTTCAGGTAGTTGTCGTAGAAATGTAATAAAATCTGGTTCGCTGGCTGCGTCTTTCGCCATGAATATTTTAATGAAATCTTCTCGTTCGATTGAAATCATTGACACATCAGTTTGACAACAAACAGTTGCCGTTCGCCTATGAGCATTGATTAGTGCAACCTCCTACAGTTTGAAAGAAAAACGAAAAAAACCAGACCGATTATTCTACTTATTTCAATCAAGAAACAAATATTCTTACGCCGAAAGAGCTTCCTTTTTTAAGCACAGCAACAAGCCTCGAACTGAATGTATGTGTTTGTGGATTTTCACGTAATTTGTATACATCAGCTTTCAAAACGAGAAGACTAGAAAAATACTTCGTTCGTTTTTAAATTTAACTTACTGATGCCATCGACGATTAAATAGAATTTCTCAGCAACATGTCCTTCACGAAGAATCACTCGACCTCTTTCAAATTCTTCTAGTATGGCAACTCTTGCTAATGCATATTGTCGTTGAAGAGGAAATTCTATTCATCAAAATATAAAATAAGATGTTTCTATTAATAATTATTCGTTCGATCAGAATTCAGTTTGAGTAATGCAATAAATGAATATTATTTTCTCTTTAGTTGTACGATAGAAATGACTTTTATCAATCACAAAAAAAGTTGTTTACACTTTTTGCACAGGATTCCTTTTGTTTTTGAGAAGCAAATTGAATAAATGGCAGCCAGTTGTTTTTCTCTGTAATCAATAAAGTGAACCATTAAGATTGATACAATTTATTACGTTCAAACTACTCCTGAATAAAGCATGCCTTTCACTTCGCCAAAACAAAATGAACTTATGTCTAACCTCGTTCCTTCTCTACAGTCATAGACCTTTTTTTTTGTTCTGTAGGATACTTTTGAAATTCATTTATTAAGTTTACTAACCTGTAAATGATGAAACGGTTTGTCCCAGTCCAACGGCAATCATACGAATATCATCTTCGGTTCTCGTCTCAGGATCTGATTTTAAAATAGTTCGAATATCTCTTCCAATTGTTTCCTAAATATTCTATGCGAAACAGTCAAATACCAACATTCTTTCTACCTCCACTGGTCGTCGAAATTTGCTTAAATCAAAAAGAATCTCTGTACTATTATATAGTTGCTCTCTACTATTTCGTGACGATTCAATCGCATATTTTCTCACAATCAACCAAACACGAACAGCATGACGGACCAGACGAAAAAACTTGCACAATTTTTTATAGTACTAAATCAATAATAAAAATATGTTTATGTACACAAGACTTGTTGCTATTTGAGATAAGTACATAATCTCGATTGAACGATAGACCACGTTTTGATCGAACAGAAACTGATGCTTGTTGATAAATTGAAAGTTGTGTTGCTGTTTGATATAAACTTGGAGTAGGATCACGAGAGGACATCGAGATTTGTGTAAAAATAATAATTGAAAAAAAAAAGAATTATGTACATAAGTTTGAATACACACACACACACACACATATATATATATAATTATCTTGGAGAACGAAACAAGCAAAAAATTAATAAAATAGCATTTGCAGGATTTCTATCCAACATCATAGGAATGACTTCAAGCTAGACAACGAAAAACAAAATCATACAATTTAAACAGTAAGATTGATTGATTTATTATTAGAGAAGAAAAGAAAATGAATAACACAGTAAAATATAAAACTATTCACGCGAAAAATTCTCTATCAGTTGACGGTCGATCATCAATTTCATTTTCTCTGAAACGATAAGTAAATAAAACTTGCTTTTCTTTTCAATAAATTTTACTGGGATTTTGTTTGAATCATCGGTGAAGATTTTTCATCAAGTGGTAATTCAGCATCCTGAAGAATTTGTAATAAATGCTCATTCACATTGACATCGTCATTAACATTTTTCGTATCTATTAGAAACACAACAAACACAAGTAAATCAAGTTTTTCTCTTGCTCCATAATTCAATTCGATGCTAGCTATTCGAAATCTAAAGACTTTTTAATGGCATAATTCGATACTAGAGCGTTTGTTCAAATAAGCTTCTTGTGGAAACACTTAAAAGAAAGATCAAAATTGAGCTAATACTAAGATTATCAGATGCCAATGCTTATTTATTTCATTCGTCATATGGAGAGAAAGCAAATTTACCTACGTTGTTAAAAAACACATTGTTTGATTATAGATTTTTCTTGATTCCATGGCAAAGCCCTACATATGAGATTTTATTCACAAAAATAAACAAATATCAAATTTTTAATCAGCAGAAAATTACGCACTGAATAGTACGATCTATACTTAACACTTGTTTTTCATCAGGATTTGAGTGTAGGGAATGCGAAGATTGGAGCGTTTTAAAATAACCTTGAAGAGGTGTTAAATTGGAAATTTGATGAGAATTTATTTTTCACATCGACAGTACATTTTAATGTCGACTTTGACAATGATATTTGTTGCACTAGAGAAATATCAACGTCAAAATCTTTAGAGAGAAAAACGAGAACTATGACTACAAACGTGTAAAGACACTTCCGATGGCCGAACTCAGAAGAAATATGGCTCTACGAAGAGAGGAAGAAAGCAACACTCTCATAATCCGAAGTAAACTGAAGCAGATCTGAGTTAAAGTTTTAGTAAAACAAAATATAAGTATTGCAGAAACATTTTTCTCTAAATAGGAACAGACAATAGAATAGCTGAAATCATCGGGACCAAAAATGGGATCCGCATATCTCCATTGATAATCTTTTACCAGTCAACAATGAAACAAAATGTTCGAATATCTAATTCTCAGCATCTTACTAACATGTTGAATAATGTTCTTGATGAATGCAATTAAAATATTTTTCATTTTTCTTCGTTGTTTCATACATCAATGTTAATCGGCCAGTGCCATTAGTTGGCTCTAACGAAAATATTAATTATATTTGATGGATAAAATTCAGTAAAATATATTACGAGGTGTAAATGATTGAACGCTTTTAGTATGCAATGTTTGAATAGAAGAAATTGTTTTCGTCGAAGATAATGATCTATACGGAAAAAATCTTCGCTAATAATATTTTGAATCATTAAAATTTATTTAGTCTAATATTTTTAGTGACAAAGTCATTCGTTAACGAAATACTCTGAATTATTTTTATATATCATATGACAAATTGAATCTCAATTTGGAGTTATAGCAATTCATTGGTTGCATTAATATGCATAATAAATCATAATTTCTGCTACATCTACGGAGATGAAACTCAAGTACATCGGTTTCAATTCTATAATTAGATTTACGTGATTAAAGAGTAATACCGTGACATCCACAAAGTCAAGTACATTTAGTATGTATTTTGGCATCTTTAATCAGCGAACGAAAAAAAAATATATCGGATGAATATTCTTTGCGTGTCTTTCTTTTCATTTTAATATTTTTAGTGATATTATACTAGAACTTTTAACGAATATTTATTCGGATGAAATTTAAATTTTCAACCAATAGAAAATTAACCATGGATAGTCTGTCTTTTCAAATCGGATTTCTTTACTTGTAGGATTGTAAGGAAGATCTTTAGTTGAAATGTGCATCTCTTTTTCTGTTTACATACTCTCCTGAAGCTGCTTGCCATTTAAGACCATCTTCCATTGAAAATTCTAGTTTTCGAAATTTCGATAATTCTTCACTGTGCGTTAATTGACGATGAGGATTTTTTTCTTTCATTGGCGAATGATTTTCATTGATTATTTCATCAGCGGTTTGGCTTCTAATAGAATTGGGTTTGACTAAATCATTCAGATCTTGTTGCGTGCCAACAGGCGATGAATGGTGGTCGTTTAATGAAATGATGGGGTCTTGAATAGAAGTATCATTATTCAATGGCAATGGTACTTTTAAATTTTCAGCTGTTTTTGAAGGTATTGTTTCTAATTCTAATGAAGAATGGTTTATCGTAGGTTTTGAGGAAGAACGATTGTTTGATGGTGATCCTACTGGCGAAGATTTTGTTGATGCGAGTGTTGTAGTTGATGAAGAAGCTTTTGTTGTAATTGATGAAGATCGATTCGTTGTAGTTGACGAAGACATTTTTGTTTTAGCTGGTGAAGAACTTTTCGTTGTAGTTGACGAAGGCATTTTTGTTTTAGCTGGTGAAGAACTTTTCGTTGTAGTTGACGAAGGCATTTTTGTTTTAGCTGGTGAAGAACTTTTCGTTGTTGATATTGATGACGACGAACTTTTTCTGGATGATTTTGCTGATGATTGACTATTCGGGTAAATGAAATCCGATTTTGATGACATGACTGAAATAGGAAGTGAAGTAGATGACGATGATGATGATGACGAAGCAGGTCGACTTGTTGCGGATTTAGACTGACATGGTGATTGTTCAATTTTTATAGAATGTTTTGAATCTCTACGTACTGCACTTCTGATAGGAGATTTAGTAGGTATTGAAGGCGAATTTATCGTTGTTTGATTTTCTGAAATATCTGCCTGTTCATGATTCGATTTTGAAGGCGAAAGAATTCGATGCGATGAATTTTTTTGTCGAGGTAACATATCCGTAAAAAAGCAATCATCATTTGTACCTATTGACGATGATGAATTACCTCCATGAAGGTCAGTCGTCCGATTTGTAAAACTAAATGGAGAATTTCGACGTTGTGTATTCTTAGAGGTGTTGATCGGTAGCCGATCAGTAGTAGGTGTTGGATCTTTTTCGGTTCGAATTGGAGAATCAGGTTTAGATAATTGATTAAAATGATTGCTTGATTCGATTTTTGATTCATAAGATAAATCATTCAGAGATGAATCAAAATGAGCAACGGGATAGTGATCGACTATAGTCGATAGGCTAGTCTTATCATCAGGTATGCGATTTTGATTCGAGAAATTCGAAGCTAAAAGAAGACCAGCAATTTATTTAATAATAAATAATTGGTTAGATTCATACGTTCATCATAGCCATCGATAGAAGATAGCAATGAATGTGATAGGAATAATTCTGAATAAACAATGGTTTCTAGTTCATCAGTAGATTTTGTAGATAATAGAGAATGTCTGAAATATTTTTATAAGTACTATTGTTTATTAGAAAAAAAACTATTAATTTAATATACAAAGACTTTTCACATAGTGTCATTGAATTCTTCTTCATTGATGGACTAGTTGAATCTAAATATGATTTCGATGATATATGAGTAACAGGTCGTTCCTGTTCCTCAACATGCTCAAGAGTATTTTCATTATTCGATTGTTCTTCAGTATTTATGGCTTGCACACTGAAAATAAGAGAATTTTCTATGAGTTCAGCAATAGTATACTGATCTTTATAAATTATTCATATTAGCAACATTCGTTGATGCTGTCTAGGCATCTGCATAACAGCGAGTACTGTGCTTTTTCTAGTAAGAATAACGAAAACCAGAAAATATAAATAGTCACATCTAAATAAACGTTAGACATCGCGAGAACGATGAATTCGTTTTCCAAAAAACTATTAGAATTATTCAATAATCATTTACTTTGACGTGTAGTCTACGCTTTCTCCTAATTGTAGAAGAATAAGTTCATAGATGACTATTTCTTTTAGAATAAAAACTGTCGGTTTCAAGCCCTGGATTGTATCCACTCGAATGTGGATAATATTTCTAGATCGACAACAGTAATTGGGTACTTTAGCAAGAAACTTTTAGAAGCAATCATAAGCGTTTGCCAGAAGAGTATAGGATCAAACCGTTGACAAAAGATTATATAAGAATTATGGATCTGAATGTTATACATAGTAGAATTAGTTATTCCTTCAAAAATACTCATCAACATCGTTACAGAAATTAGTGAATAAAAAGCATAGGAAGCGTCAATCAGTCGACTTCGTCCTACAGATCGAAAATATGGTCTATTGACAGCTCCGTTTATTTTACCTTTTTTCTGTTTGTATTTCTTCTATATCCTCATCAAACGACTAAAAGATTTATAAAGATATAATATAATCGGAATAGAAATAAGTTCTCACTTCAATATCAATACTTGGATCATTTAAATTTGTATTTTCAGTAAGTGCATAGTATATATTAATCATTACACCTATTTTTGGTTTATCTTTTTTTGTATCTTTTGTCTTTTTCGATTGTTGATTAGATTTTTTCAGATTATTTTTCTCAATAGGGCGATCCCTTTTAGATCGGATTTTCTCATTGGAAGAGAGTCTCGATGAATTAGATTCAATATTTGGTAGTCGATTAGAATAGTCCATTCTGTCACTGATTGTTTCGTTAATCGAAGTTATGAATCCATTTTTGGATCGAATTGCTTTTGATCCATTTACGTTCTTATTTCTCCATTTGGAAAATGCCTTTTGAAATGACGTAGAATTTGTTTTGAGATTGTGCAATTCTTCTGATTCGTGCACATTTAGTGTCATTGTTGATTTTCTATGTAAACCATCGTTTGATTGTCGATGGGTTAAATCTCGGAGATTAAGATCACTATTAAACGATCGATTTTTTCTTTGAGATATCGATAATTGATTTTCCGATAGAAAAATTCGATGATGACGTTGTAAAGCACCACGCAGATGAAAATAAGTAAAGCAATTGGCACAATAATTTTCGACACATTCGATACATTTCTTAAAATTTCAATTATAATGATTCATTTTTCTCAAAAATCTGTTTAAATGCTTTTGTTTTACCATTTTAGCTTCTTCTGTTACACATTGACCACACTTAATTGTCTGTGTTATTGTTGATGACTTGGGTGAGAATAAACTAACTGCAAGAAACGATAAAATAACTCTAATTGAATAAATTTTTTGCTACCTGTTGGCTTATCCCGTGACATATGATTAGTATTTTGTAATATTCCTTTATTAGAAATAGAGCGAAATGTTTCAATACTTTTAAGATAAAAGAAAAAGGGAGTGCCATGTGTAAATTAGAATAGAAGAACATACGTTGATTTTATTTTATCCCGTTGCATTGAAGTTTTTTCAGTTTATGTGTGAAGTGCTTTCGAGTGCATGCGTTTGTCTTTCAACCAAACCGATAGGCTATTTACTGAATAAATTACGAAAATAGCAAAAGCAAGAACTAATTAAAAATTTCAAGTACGAAGAATATTATTTGTTTGTCATAGATGTCTATAATAGCAATCGAGTGGTCGTTTTCTGATTAAACATGAATTTACTATTCTAATCTTTCATTTAAATTTTGCGTAACCATCGATACGTGTTGACGTCTAGTAGCTGCCTCTTCAAGGACTATTGATTGATGGCAACAGATGCCGCGCATTAAAAGTTAAATCAATATACTGTTTACTTATTCAAGTAATTCAATTATGCTTAAAAAAATGTAAACTTGATTTTCTTTTTGAAGCTTTTATTCTGGAGTATTGGTTAGTACGAAAATAAAGAACATGATAAAAGGTTTTATTATTTTGAAGACTTTTAAAAATAAATTATATGAAAAAAAAAAGAAGGGTATGTCTAACTATATGCATGAAGGATAATTCTTATCACAGCCTGTCGAAATGCTTGGATGAAGTAGAAAGAAAGAGAGAGGAACAAGAAGTAATGTTCATGAAGTTTTCTTCTGATTGTTTAGTTTAAGATTCAGTAAAATATGACAATGTCTTCTTAGTGTTGTTTTTGTTCAGCGGCATGAACAAATGAATTATTATAGACGCCATACAGTGGAGGAGCCATTTCAGTGATACCGGGTGTAGCTTGGAATTTTTCTGCTTCAATTCGTTTCTCTTCTGCACTCATATCAGCTGCATTTTGTTCCCCGTCATCCATCGGTTGCCATCCAGCTGAATTTACATATTCATTATATTGTTGTTGCATTTTTTGTTGATAACGCTGATAATAATAATAAGAGAATAATGTACAACTACAACATAATAAAAGGCCAACAACCAGAATAATCATTATAATCATAACAACGATATAGACCGATGCCGTATCGCTCAACATATCCAAAGTCTGCATAATTCCAAAACCATAACTACGGCATTCAATATTACCCATTTGACACCAACAATTCATTTTATTTTCTACGGATTTAAGAAGTACACCTATATAGACAACAAAAATAATTTATTATTATCGGATTAATCAAATTTAAAACGAACCATGTGGATAAGTTATGCCGTTGCTCACGCAAGTAGTTTGATTGGCAAAACTTTGGTAATATGCACATTGAGTACAGCATTGGTCAGATTGACGAGTTGGAGCTGAGCCATCGACACAGTATGTTGGCATGCATTGTAGTCTTGAACAACGAATAGCACGTGATTTTGTGCATGTGCACATTGTGCATACGGATTGCATATATGTTGCACCAAGAGCAAGATACGTATTATTACGAGTACGGCACCAAACAGCACGTTCTAGTGGCGAAGTACTGGATGGAGTGTTAGACTCTTCTGAGTCACCTTGAATAGCAACAACAGCAAGTGCCATAAGCACTGCTGCAAACATTACTTTACGTAAGTCAACCATGTTTCTTGTGCGAAAGAGATAAATCAGAATGATGTCGTTCGTATAAATGTAATATGATGTGATGACATACCTGTGTGCAATGAATCGATGGGCTCTCTTTCTTTTCTTCTCAACCAATTAATGTATTCGCCCCTCGCTTTTTTTTTCTTAGTTGGTTATTGCTTTTTCCCTTTTGGATAAAAATCAAAATCATTTGTTTTTTGTTCTGCCTTCTTTCTCTTTTTTGATCAGTTGTCGGACTAGTTCGTAGAGAACGAATGTGACTTTTTTTAAATTTATTTTTCTCACTTACTGTTCTCCTATCTATTTATCATGAAAAAAAGAGTGGACCCTTTTCTTACATCGTTTTTACATAATTTCGAAGTACAGACAGTCATGCTCGAATGATTCTCATAGAGTCGCTCGTCGCGAAGAAACCAATTGGTCTTAATTGAAAAAAATGTACAAAAAAAAGTTACTGATAGATTAAAAAAGTAAAACTAGAAATCATAATGTACGTTATACGGGGTGAAAATCTTGATTTTTAGATTAGCATGAGATCACAATGTGTTTTATTTTAGTTTTTTTGTTTTTTGAATAAATACGATTTTTCATATGCACGCAGAAGAAAAATTAAACGAACTACGTAGTATCTAATGAATCACCGGGCAATGTTTTTTAAGTCTCCAGCTGCCGAATCAATGTTCATAGAGTAAATCATAATGACCAGGTCGATAAAGCATTGTAATCATTGGTTTGAATGTACTTCGATTTTCATCGTCTGTAGCTGAGAAATCATGTGTTGTCAATAAACAATGTTCATTTCGATCCATATATACAACACGTAATGGAACAGCTGCAGCTTTAGCTAAGGCAGTTATATGAATATTATCTGATTCACGACCCATTGGTTCAACTTCCTTTAATACAAAAAAAAACAGAAAAAAATTGATGGTAAGATTAGATATAACTTATTTAATGCACAGTAACATACAGTATTACAGAATTGTTTTATTGTTTTGCCATCGTCAATAAAGTTTTCGAAAAATGCTGCATTCATTTGTAGATATGCCGATGTAAATAACCTATCGAGTACAATTTCGAAAATAAATTCTTGATGAAATGAAGTAACTCCCCGGGGGGGGGGGGGGGGGGGGGGGGGGGGGGGGGGGGGGGGGGGGGGGGGGGGGGGGGGGGGGGGGGGGGGGGGGGGGGGGGGGGGGG